GGAAAAGGCTTTTTCCATATTTATTCAGCCATCCCCGGAGGAAAGACACACAGAAACAAGCATTCCGAGCACAAGAAAAGTGTAGTCTGTTGTGAAGTAAGGAAATTTTCTAGGCTCTCCCGTAGGCTGGATGAAATAGTCTCAAAAAATTAGTCAAGTCCCTTTGCTCTAATTCCTTGCTTACTCAGCAACCATCTGACTATTAATTAAATTGGTATTATGGTTTTAAAATGAAGCTTTTACGATTATCTTACTATTAATGGAATCCTCAGGGCTTAGTCACCTCAAGGGGAGCTGACGAAATTGAATTCTTCAGCCTGCAAAGATCCAGGGCCCCAAAACACTGTCTTCCCCCCCTACCCATCCCCCTCCTTCATGAGACCCAGTCCAAACTCCTGGTCAACCAACTCTCCACTCTGGCTAATCAGCTTACTCACAAGAATATTAGTGGGCATTTCAGGGTCGACAGATCACTGACTAGCAGTTGACATGCACCCTCAGAAAATAAATGAAGAAGAAAGAATTTATCTATGATATTTTAAAAAATTAATAGATAAACTTGTCCCTTAGAAGGGAGACGGCAGAACCTTAAACAGACAGCAGTCCTGAGCTGTTCATTAACTACCACATATTTCTGTAGTAAAAGGAGGAATAGCATCATCAAATTAGTCTCTTTTTTACCTCAGCTAAACTTCTAGGCTTCAGCCCCATGCTCAGAATGTGAAGAAAAACAGTACATGGCTAAGAAAAGATATACATTTATAGCAGAAATGTTTCACTACTGCACCTTTGTTTTCTGGCGCTTGATCCTACTGCTGTTGATATCCACCCTACAGAACACTGTTTCTACAGCAACCACTTAAGGCTCCAGGAATGTGGTGACCCTTGACCTTAATTCATCCCTCTTGGTGGACCTCATGTAACCATCTTTCTAAAAGAGCTTTCACAAACTCAGATAAACACGGAAAGGCAGGCCCTCTTATCTTTGGGAGTTTATGTTTATCCTTATAACCCTCTTTCATCACAAATTGCTTGTCAGGTAAGAAACATTGGACTTTTCTTGTATTTGTCACTGCCATTTGTTCCATACCAGCATTCCTTTGACCAAGAATGCATTCCCACTCTCTTCATTTCTTCCTTCCTCCTCAGCTTTGCTCTTCTCTCACCTAAAACACCATAAGCTTCTTCTCCTGAGGCTCTCTTACTTTTACTTCACATTTATCTACATTTGCTCTTTAGGTCTCTGGCAGAATTTTCTCTTCTTTTTATATTAAAAATCGTCTCTATCTCTGTAAGTTATTGATGATCCCACAATCAGATTCGGGATGCTCCCTGTACTCTCACTTTCCCTCTACCTCCTTATCTTGTTCAAGTTCAAATTCTGCTAATGATTTCCAGGTCAATGTTAGTTCAGAAGACAAGCAAGTCAAAGTGGCCAAGGGCATGAGGCTTGGAGGGTGTGCTACTGCAGTGAATAACGGAATCTGCTATTAGGGGGTGTAAATGGATGGAGTGGGGGTGTAACTAACATGAGGAGATAGATCAGGCATAAATATAAGTTCCTGTATTTAGGTGAAAATTCATAAATGGTAACCGCAGGAGGATATCACCTCACACCTGTTAGAATGGCTATCATAAAGAAGAAAAGAGATAATAAATGCTTGCAAGGATGTAAAGAAAAGGGAATCTTTGTGCACTGTCGCACTGCGGATGGAATGTAAATTGGTACAGCAACTATGGAAACAGTATGGAGTTTCCTCAAAAAATGTAAAATAGACCTAGCATACAATCCAGCAATCCCACTTCTGGCTATATATCCAAAGGACATGAGAAATGGCTCTCCAAGAGATACCCGCACTCCCGTGTTCAGCATTATTCACAACAGCCTAGATATGGAAACAGCCTCAGTCTCTGTCTAGGGGTGAATGGATAAAGAATCTGTGGTATGTATGTACACAATGGAATATTATTCAGCCATGAGAAAGAAGGGAATCCTGCCATTTACAACAACATGGATGGACCTCGAGGGCATGATGTTAACTGAGATAAGCCAGACAGAGAAAGACAAATATTGTATGACCTCACTCATATGTAGAATCTAAAAAAGTTAAACTCATAGAAACAGAGAATAAAAAGTGGTTGCCAGGGGCTGAGGGGTGGAAGAAATAGGAGAGTTTGGTAAAAGAGTACAAACTCACAGCTATAAGATAGATAAGGTCTGAAGACCTAACGTAAAACATGGTGACTATAGTTGATAACACTGTCTTATATAATTGAAGTCTGCTAAGAGAGTAGAACTTAAATGTTCTCACTAAAAAAAAAAAAGATAAATATGTGAAGTGATGGGTGTGTTCATTAACTAGATGGTGGGAATCCTTTCACAATGTATACATATATCAAATCACCACTATGTACACTTTAAATATCTTAAAATTTCGTTTGTCAATTATACCTCAATAAAGTTGAAAATAAGATTCATAAATGAAAAAAGCAGAGATGATGGATAATATATGGTGATTTTTGATCATTGCAACCAAGAGGTCACGACGGGGAGTGTTATGTTGCGGGGAATGTGGTCACAGCTATTACAGTTACAAATGCGTTCAGGATGCATCATTTGCAGTAGAGCATCTTCCAAAGAAGGTTACTGTCTCAAAGTCCCGTGTACTGGCCTGATTCTACCTGGAGCACGTATCCAGTTCACAGCATCACATTTGAAAAGAAGCACTGACCACCGATGGGAGTGTATCAGAGGAGGAAGTTCTGGGTGATAAGGATTCTGGGAAACGTGTCTGAAAAGGAATCATTCAAAGAAGTTGGAATGTCTATTTGGCAAATAGAAAATAAGCTGTCATTCATCACTCAAATGGCTGTCAGGAGACCAGCAATTTCAAACTCAAATTTCCAGGAGGCCAGGCAGGAACACAGATGAGAGAAACAAGACATGTATAAGGAGAGAAAAGAGCTCAAGCGTGAGAGTGCCACTAGAGATGCTACCTAGCCTCAGAGTCGAAGGAGAGGCCTGGTTGTTGTGATGTCTGAGAATGACAACCTGAAGATTATCATCACATGTGAGAATAGGCCTAATGCTACATTCTTTTCTGCTTTCTCAAGAGAAGCCAGAAATCCACATTTTCCTGCAATATGTGTCAATTTTTAATTTTAACAACTATTTCAAAAAAACTTTAAAGACAGATTCCTCAGGCCAAACATAACATGTCTATGGGCTGGTGGCAGCCCAGGGTTGCCAGGTCATGATGTCTATGGGACACATTTCTTGGTTTTAACAGAAAGTAGCGCAAAGATGCATAGATGGAAGATTGACTTGGGACATGAGAGCACGTTCGAATGTTTAGAACTCACAGTCAGAAAACAGACTCTCCACCCAAGCTCTGAGCATTGGGAAATTGTCCAGAGAATAGTAGATGACGATATATGAAAGATATAAGAGAAAGGATTTTCTCCTTAGCAGAGATGTTGAACTAAATTATAATTATACTTTATACCAGAATAGTGGCTTACAGGTTATCAAGCGCTTTTGTATTATCTCATGTAAAAAGTTATTAGAATAGTTCTTTGAAGTAGAAAAGTACGTATTTCTGTTTTACAAATGCATGAGCTGGGTATCTGAGATATTACATAATTCACAGAAGGTCACCCTGGAAACCGGGCAAGAGAATTAGGACTCAGGTCATCGAACTTCAAATTCAAAACTCTTTCCAGTGCTACTTCAGAGTCAGACTCTAAGGCTATGAGATACCATTCCTAGCTATGCTCTGAACTGGATTTGCTCCTTTGTTGTTTTTCTGTGGTCAGTTTCCTCCCCTGCACATTTCCGTATTCCTGGAATGTCTTCCTGTCCCTTACACTACTCCCTGAAAGCCCTTATCCTTCACCACCTCTTGTCCAGTTTCTTCCAAGCTGTCACCTAAAGGAATGTTCCCCCAACTCTCTGTGCTCCAAACTGGACTCACCCTTGACATGTGATTGTCCAAAATTTTTGTCTATCTTCTTTGCATCTTCTACATATACGTCTTTATCAGGACAAAACCTGTCTTAACCCATAACAAAGCCACATGCACTTATGTGCACACACATACACACAAGAGCTGGTATCGATCAATGAATCATCAAATGATTATAATTGCTGGACTTGTAAACTGGTCAGGAGAAAGAGAACCTTTTGTCAACCATGGCTTCTAATTCTCACAGCCATTTCTACTTCCTTCCGGAAACTTTGATTCTGACAAAAGCCAGCTGGGTAGCCTTGTTTCTGCACATTCAGTGCAGGAGAGGCCATAAAAAATATCTGGTTCTTTGTATTTCAGGCTCGTGGATGCCAGTTTGAAATGTGTCATTATTCCTTGGGTCGAGAACCTTGTCTCAGAAGAACACAAAAATCATGGAGAAATTCCTAAGTTAAGCTTCCAAATGACTTAGTTTGGCTGAAACATAGGTTTTTCAAATGTAAGCACTGCCAAAGGTTTCTCCTCGTTGACTCATGGATATAGCTCGAGTGCAACGATGCTTTCTGGTGCACTATATTTAAGCCTGTGTAGCCAAATGTCATTCCATGTGAAATAAGTTATTACAGTTTGCATCTATCACTTAAAATGAATGATAAAATGTATAGAAAATGGAAAACATGCATAGAAATAATAGGTAGGGAGGAATAAAATCTCCAAGAATGTTGCTGCATCCAGCCACGCATGGAGAAGGGTATTTTTGTTTGTTTTGATTGTTTTATTTTGGTCATCTAGCTGGTCAAATGACCTGTTAAGAATATTTCATAGAGCTAATGTTCTGACGCTCTAATCTGTCTAGGCAAGTTTCATATTTGTGTGGGTTACTTATTCTCCCTTTGTTGACTAAGTCAGTAGTCAGAATCAGCAGGTTTGGAGTCAGGTTGGCAGGGCTCAGGAGGCTGGCTGGGGAGAAGTGAGTATAAAAGCCCAAAGCTGGGAGCAGCCCTTCTCAGAGACCCACCAGTCCTCGGCAGAATGGCTTCTTCCCGTCTGTTCCTCCCTTGCCTCGCTGGACTGGTATTTGTGTCTGAGGCTAGCCCTGTGGTGAGTGTTCGACTCTTTGAAATCCTTTCATGTGTCTCCTGTGGTCGAAGGGACTCCTTCCTGCTTTGCCAACCAGCTTTTGTTAGTAGGGCCAGGGCACCCAGCATCTATTTTTAAACATCATTGATTCAAACTTCAAAAACAATGAAATTCTGCAGAGCTCACTGAACTGGGGCTTGGATCCTGGGCGCTCTCCTTTATGGCTTTGCAGTGGTGCCTCAATTTCCTCAGATAAATGGTAGAAATAAAGATCCGATATTCCAGAAGCTGTTACTATTGAGTTTTCAGAAGCTTGACATTTGGTAAAGTTGATTTCCCTTTAGCTAATCAAAAAGTATGTAGTGATTAACCTCTGAAAGGCTTGGCAGACAACGTTCTAGTCAGATATCTAACTCTTAAATCCTGAGAATTCCCTGGTGGCCCAGTGGTTAGGCCCCAGCCCTTTCACTGCTGCGGGCCCCGGGTTGACCCCTGGTTGGGGAACTAAGATCCCCCAAGCTATGCAGTACAGCCAAAAAGAAAAAGAAAAAAAATTCTTAAATCCCCTAGGAGAATTAACTAAAACTCTAAAAAGGGTCATGAAATCATCTGACATTATTTTACAGCGACTAGTAAGAGGGAATCACTACAGCAACAACTGAGTAAAATGCTCTCAGGAAAAACTATTTAGTCCCATGGCACAGTACATCTTTGCAGTAATTCCACTCAAATGACGAGGCTTACTGAAGCAACTGTTCTCAGAGGGCCTATTTGCTCCCTTCAAGTTCATTATACACGCCCCCGCTGGAGCACAGCATGTCCAGAGGCAGAAACCATTCCTTCTTCGGAGACAATCACGTCTTTGCTACACTGAGTGAGGGAAGCTCATTAACCATCAACACTTCCGTAGCTGGAAATGGGATTCGCGTGTCCTTTCTGCCTCGCTCCAAATCGAAGGTCACAAAGGACGCATCCTGTCACTCTGACCAACTTTGTTGACTTGTCACTTGTTTTCTCTCTGCCCAGGCCTCTGGTGAATCCAAGTGTCCTCTGATGGTCAAAGTCCTAGATGTGGTCCAGGGCATTCCTGCTGTGAACGTGGGCGTGCAAGTGTTCAAAAAGGCTGCTGACGAGACCTGGGAGCCGTTTGCCTCGGGGTGAGCTGCCCGGGGAACCCAGATGGAGGACTTGGTTATACCTTCCCGTTCCCCCACCACTTGTTAGAGAGAGGGGCTCACATTGTTACCAGAAGGGGGGCCCCTTCCAGGGCCCAAGAGTGGGCTCTCATCTAACACTCGGAAATGAATTGTCCGAGGAGACTTTATTGGGAAGGGGCGCCCGGGTGGAGAGCAGCAGGGTAAGGGAACCCAGGAGGACTGCTCTGCCACGTGGTTCGCAGTCTCAGGGCTTATGGTGATGGGATTAGTTTCCGGCTGTCTCTGGCCAATCATCTTGCTTGTGCCCATATTTGGTCTGACTCAGGATCCTTCCTGGTGGCAGGCACATCTCTCTGCCAAGATGGATTCTAGCTCGAGGGTTTCTGGGAGGTCGGCAGGACCTATGGGCTGGCTTCTCCTCCCTCCTTTTGGCCCCTCTCGGGTTCTTCCGATTAGTTTTCTGAGGCAGTGCCGTGTTCCTTATCGGGACCTCCTGTTGTGAGACAACTCATGCAAGCAGTTATTGTCGTACCTGGCCAAGGCGGGCGGTTTCGGTCAAAGGGTCCCTAACAACATCATTCACTAAAGGTCCACCAAGTAAACTGAAAATGTGGGCAGAGGGAAGGTGGATTCTGAGAAGGATGCCCTCTTGCCTTGTTCAGCTGCAAGTGACCAGGATCCTGAACAGCATTCCGGGCAGCTTCCTACTCCCCCCTACACTTCACCACATTTTGGGGTCATGAACCACATGAAAAGGGTGATGAAAACTATGAACTCCATGCCCAGAAAAATACACATATACACACATACAAAAACGTGTATATAATTTCAGGAATTCCAGATGCCTTGATGCCCTTGCATAACACTCCTTGTCTTTGAATGTTAGGAAAGATGTAGAATTTGTGTTGATTTATTAATGAAAGGAATGGAATCGAGGGGCTGCATGGAGGAGGTGACTGTCTGTAGTGTATCTGGATCATCCAGAGTCCAGAGCTGTTGTCTAGCAAACCCTGGTGGAGCATCTACTCTGTGAGGCTGGGGCTATCGAGCTCCATAAGAAAAGACACAGAAGAGAAAGACACGTGACAGCAAGCACAGCCACAGATCAGCGTCACCATGCCCCACCGCTGGGAGCCCAAATGACTTCTCACCTTCACCAGACGCTCTATAACTTTCACAGAGTTCTTCCACCTCCACTAGCAAGAGTTTCAAAGAAAATGCACATTAGTAAAATCTAAACCAACCAACGAAAAGAATGAACAACGAAGAAACATTCAGTACCAAGCGATACTGCTAAGTGTTTCTGTCCCCTGAGAAGAGAGTTTCTGTGGGTTTTCAATGAATCCCAAGAATCACATGATGATTCTTGAAATAGAATTTTTTCTTTTTTTTTTTACACATGATGATTCTTCATCCATCATTGGGAAGGTCATTTTCTTTAGTGTGGTTTCCACTCAGTTTTTATTTGTTAGTTCACTTATGTTTCTATAAAATGCCAAGAACACTGTGGAAATGCCAAGTTAAGAGAATATTCTAAGCATGAGACAGAACGGATGCCAAAAACATTCAGATGAAAATAAATAAATAAATAAATAAAAAGGAAAAAAAAAAAACAACATTCAGATGTTTGTGGGAATTTTTTTCTGATGATAAGACAAAAAAGGGAAATCCAATATTTTCTTCCTGGCAAGGAAGAAAGAGTCAATAAAGACAACTTCCATTTTTACCTGTCTTAGTTTTTGCTATCTAATGGAGAGTGATTTCTAACACCAGCCATTGAGCAGGTACTTACATGGAAACAGAAATTGCCTAGTTTAAAAACAAAAAGGAGTTACCTAGTATTTGTTGACGGCAAAGAGTTACCAAGGAGCTTAATCATATAAACAATGAAAAAGTCAGATATGGGTTTCTCCTTGTATTTTGGGGTTCCCATCATGTGTACAAATGATACCGCCTCTGGAAGATACCCTCACACAACAGGGGAGAGAAGTGAGGCCCCCAGGTTCCCCAAGGGAACCCCAGTCAGAGAAGCTTATGGCCACTTCCAGGGGTAGTTACGAACCTTCGCCCAAACACCAACCCTGAATCGTAATGACTTTTTTTTTTTTTTAATGTTAACTGTCTGGCAACTAGTCTGCTAAAACCTAAATTGGAACATGTAGACACAGAAGTACATTGAAAAGATTTTTAGCTTTCGGGAAAGGAAACCCATTGCAATAAAACGTCAAACAGTCTTTTCAACTGACAGCAAGAACTACTCTCAGTTTTCTACGTATGAACAAAATCCCGTCACATCAAATTATCCAACAAGTTAATAAAAACAATTTTCCTGAAACTGCACATCATTTAAGTCCTCCAAATTAGCGGCAGTCAGCTCAATCTGCCCTTGGTGGTTCCCCGGGGACTATGGACCCGTCAGTCAGGCTGGTTCTGCTGCAGGCTACCTGGGTGCCAGGTGGGCCCCAGGGAGGCCACAGCTTCAGTAACTGCCTTCCTGAGTGGCCTGGGCTGTCCCTCCTCCCCCACCATGATGGTTAGAGCTTCTTTGACCTTCCCACGCCTCACCCACAAGCCCCAAGTTAGCCCAGTTCAAACGCTTCCCTGAGTTTCTAGATGTTCCTCTATCTCCTGCCATTGGCCTGGAACCAGGGTTTTCATCTACAATTTCCCCCTCAAAACACTGAGGGGACAAGGCCCCTTGCTGGGGAAGCCGTTTACTTTCCTCCTTACTTTGTACTGTATGGGGAAGCGGCCAAAAATGTGTTTTTTGTTTATTAGTAACGGGTTCTGTTGGATTGAATGACTTAAGAATGTGTCTATTGCAATTAAAAGAGGTATCGTGTTTATATTAATGCTTTAAAGTTTGGTTACTCTGGGAGCATCAGTTTACAGGAGTTTAAATAGATGATAATGAATACAATGAAGGATCCCACGTTAAAAGTGTACCTCTCTAGAAAACGTCAGTGTGGTGTTTTTTTTTCTTTTTTTTTATTGGAGTAAAATTGGTTTACAATGTTGTGTTAGTTTCTGCTGTACAATGAAGTGAATCAGCTATACGTATACATATATCGCCTCCCTCTTGGACCTCCCTTCACCCCCATCCTACCCAACTAGGTCATCACAGAGCAGCAAGCTGAGCTCCCTGTGCTATACAGCAGGTTCCCACCAGCTATCTATTTTACACATGGTAGCGTATTTATGACACAAGGTAGTGTATTTATGCGTAATGACTTTTTTGAAGTGAAACCTCTTAAGAGAAAAAATCTACAATAAGCTTTTTGAAATATTCCTGACAAATTTCCTGTCAGTTAATTTTACAGTTACTAGAATTTTCCCTGTCCTGACCTAGTTGAGAAAAAAAAAAAAATATATATATATATATATAATCACATACACAAACTGCACTTATGTGTGTGCATGTGTGTGTGTGTGTGTGTGGTGTCACCTCAAAATGGCATTTATTCCCTCAATGCCTAACTTAACGTGGACTTTTGCACCTTCTAGGAAGACCAGTGAATTTGGGGAGCTCCATGGGCTCACAACAGATGAAAAACTTGTAGAAGGAATATACAAGTAGAATTAGACACCAAATCCTACTGGAAGTCACTTGGCTTTTCCCCTTTCCATGAATAAGCAGAGGTGAGTGGATGGATGCTTGTGTTGTTTTTTATTTTTTGTTTGTTTTCAATCCCAGAAAATGCACCGTTTGCACTTTGCACCCCTTGGAAAAGTCGGAAGGAACGTACTGTACTAGCACAGCTTCCCTTTCCCACTTCTACAATCAAAAATCCACAAAACTCTGAAAAGCAAACTTTTTCTCTCTTTGATGATAACTCATTTAGTAACATGACCTGAACTTACAAGATGCTCTTTAGAGATTTCATTCCTTCCACTGAATCCTACTGTCTGCTGAAGAAATATTAATATGTTGGATTATTAGGCAACCCTCCAGACCCCACTTAGGGTGTCACACAGCAAAAAATAAGTGCATCATTTTACTTCTCTAAAATCTGACAATTTTTTCATTCCAAAACACATCTGGCTTCCAGAGGTTTGGATAAGTGATTTCGGACAATGCATACAGAGACAGTAAATTCATAATAATAACAGCAACACAATAGATAACAGTTCTCAAGCATATACTACCACTGTTTTCTATATTTAACCTACGTAATCTTTGTAAACAACCCATTGGAGCCATTCCTATTATTATCCTTATTTTACAGGTGAAGAAAGTAAGGCCCAGGGAAGTTAAATAACTTGCCAAGGTCACGGGGCCAGTAAGGGGAAGAGCAGTAATATTTACCACCAGGGCCCAGGCTGGGTTTAGCCTCAAGGTGTGCCTCAGCTTTCTTCCTGTGAGAAGTCACGCTAGAAAAAATAATAATAATAAAAATAAAGCCACATTTGTAACCCTTGTTTCACACTCTACTCCTCTGCCTATGAGGTAGTGGGAACCTCAAAGTTATCCATGGGCCCAATCTCCTTGTCTGTAATAATTCCTTAAGTCGTGTTAAACAGATGGCTGCCGTGGAAATAGAATCCAGACATGTCGGTCAGCGTTAAAGATCAACTAATTACGTGAGCAATTAGGAGCTCTGTGATTTCCCTCGGTCAGGTTAGGGCCACCCTGATTTTTAGTGTGAATCTCCCAAAAAAAGAGAGAGACCTGATTATACAGGCGGGAGTAAAGAATCTGGTGGAAAGGGCTGCGCAAGGCTCCAGCGGCTTAGCTGGCCAGCATATTTGGAGTTTTGCCTTTTGCTCACACTGCTCCAGAAAACAAAATAAGAAAGTAAAACTAACGTCTTTGGACTTGGAGTGGTCCCTCTGTCTGTGACTCACATTTGGAGGCTCTGCTGAAAAGCAATCCGGTCCGTGTTCCCTCCTAGGTGGTGTTCACAGCCAACGAGTCTGGCCACCGCCACTATACCATCATGGCCCTGCTCAGCCCCTGCACCTACTCCACCACGGCCCTCATCAGCAGCCCCAAGGAGTGAGGGGCACCTGCTTCGGTGGACCTGCAGGATGAGGGACAGGACTTCGTGTAACCAACAGCATTCCATTTTTATTAAAGCAGGGCTCTCACTTTATAGGCTATGTTAGAAACTCGGGCAGAGACAATAAAACATTCCTATTAAAGCACTTCCCATCTCACCATTTGATCTTGCTTTTTTAAATTCCCCTGTTGTCCTCTCGAATTAAAAAAAGGAACCGAATTTGACAGAAATGCAAAGGAACTCAAAGAACATCTCCGGCTGAACTCTGGGGGAAATCCAAATTTCCAATGTTTTCCAAGCTAAGCACATATTCGACCTCGTCCGCAGCTATTAAAAACACACATTCTGAAAATGAGAGAGCTTTCTTTTCCTCTCACCTTTGGTGAATAGCAAAAGGCAAATTCTAAGGGTCCTCTTCTTTATTATGTGCATTTCCTTTAAGTGCTTCGCTGATTTCAAGAGTAGCCCAGCTCCACCGGGACAGACTTACAGTGACTCAAGCCCTCTAATCCGGTTCAGAATGACCAGAGCCCACAGGCAGCTGACTGGGGGATGTGATCAGAGAACCCTCGCACCCCCAACTCACTTGGACTAACCCGAAATTCATGTACTGAGAGATTGCTGTACGCCAAGCATTCCTTTAGATGCTTTGAACCTAAATAAGATCCAGTGCCTGCATATAAAGCGCTCACATTCCTTTAAGAAGATAACTATGTCAACGTGATTTGACAAGGGCTATGGCCCAAGGCACCATACCTTGGCAGGAGGGTGGGAAAGAGGGAGTAGTAAACAGCCTGGAGAAGTCAGAGAGGGACTCAGAATAAGTTGCACTTGTTTGAAATTTGACTCTTAGCCATTTATCGGGTAGAAAAGGAGGAGGTATTCTAAGTAAGGAGAGCAGAGATTGCAAGAGCAGGCCAAGGGAAAGAGCTTGATAAATTGAGAGAACAGATGGGGGATTAGAATATTGGATCGTAGTGGGTATTGAGGTGCACTAGGTTGTGCTACCGTAACAAACAACCCCAAATCTCTGTGCCTGAACACAAGGTTTATTTCTCATGAGTGCGAAGTCCAATGCAGAAGTTCATGTTCTGGTGACCCTCCACATGGAGGTGGCTTTCCTCCACATGGTGACTCAGGGCCCCAGTTTGATTTATTTTGTGGCTTCAAGGGACACCTAGTCAGCAGGCTGGAGGAAGAAATTATGGTATTAGCTACCTCTGCACTGAAGTGTCACACATGATTCTCCCTGACATTTCACAGGCCAGAACTAGTTACACGGTCCCATTCAGATGCACTGAGCAATATGGTCCCCAGCTGAGAGTCATTTCCCAGAACAACTCTACAGTCTGGAAAAAAGCACTAATTTGTTTTGGTCAACAACCATCTCTGTCACAGTAGGGCTGGGAGTGGCGGGAAATGAGGCTGGAGTGGAGGCTGATGGCCCTGATGTCACCTTGATTTGGGGCTTCTACCCTCCAGAACTGAGAGAGAGAACCATGTGTCTCTGCCTTCCTATGGCTGCCTTCTTACTGGATTATAATCTCATCTTTTATTTTTTAAATATACATTTTATTGTGGTAAAAAAACACGTAAAATTTATCATCTTAACCATTTTTAAGTGTTCAGTTTGTAGTGCTAAGTATTTTAACATTATTGTCAAACAGATCTCCAGAACTTTTTCATCTTGCAAATCTGAAACTCTATACCCATTAAACAACAACTCCCCTTTGCCCCCTCCACATGGCCCCTGGGGACTACCATTCTGTCTTCTGTGTCTATGAGTTTGACTACTTTAGATCCTCATATAAGTAGAATCAAACAGTATTTGTCTTTTTGTGACAAGTGTGACCTCATTTTAACCAATTACATCTCCCATGACCCCATTTCAAAATAAAATCACATTCTGAGGTACTGGCGGTTAGGACTTAGACATATATTTTGAGGGGGACACAATTTAACTCATAACACTCGTCTTTCATGACATTGACACTTTTGAACAGTACTGATATCCGTTATTTTGGAGAACCACCCTCAGTCTGGACTCACCTGGCATTTTTTCAGGATTGAACTGAAATTATTGTTTTTGGTAAGAATACCACAGAAGTGATATCAGTGTTCATCTGAGTGCGTTATAGTTAGGAGTTGATGTTGTCAATACGTCATATTCTATGTCCCGTTTTTGATCAACAGAAAGTCTCACGTATTGTGCTGGTGTGGGTGGGAAGGAAATATCTCATAGTAGCAAGAAAGAGGAGACAGAGAGGAAGAACCCTGGAACCTGGAAACACAGCCATGACGTTGTTGTTGTAGCTTTATAGGCCGGTGATGAAAACAAGATTCAACAAATGGAGAGAAGACAGTGTGTCAGTACTCTCCAGTCCAAATCCACCAGGAACACGTGTGTAGCTGAACCAGTTGGACTTACTACTCATCCCGGCAAGAGAGAACACACAACACTCTCACTAAGACAGTAATAGACAGACCCTATCACAGGGTTTGGGCTTTGCTTGGGTGGCTTGGGGGAGAGTCTAAGAAAGTGGGACTCTACTCTCTAGACTGGACGCCATCAGAAAGTGGGGACAATTCTATGACTGAGATCTCAACAGTTCATCTGTAGGGAAGGCAGACCAGAGCAGACACAAAGCTGTGACTGGTAAAGCAGAAATAGTTACTCCTTTCAGTGAAAAGGGAGGTTTGGGATTTTGTGGGTTTCAGCGATTCCTTTTTTTTCTTGCTTTGTCATGGTCTTAGACCGACATTGTTTGATGTTCTGTGAGACTGTTGTATCCAACAGAGCGACGATGGCCCAAACTAGCCTGTGATAAACTTGAGGCCAGTTCCCGAATGCCAGCAGCTGCTTTCCCACCCTCTTCCTCAATGTCTAGAGAGCTGTTGAGAACAAAAAATCAGAAAATAGTGGTGATAGCTTTGCTGCGAATGGGGAGAGAATTAGAGGAGTCCATGAAGTTTTAGGCATCAATCGGTCCTGGCCAGCGGACCGAACGGACCACCCAGTCACTGAGCTCGGGAATATGGGCAGAGGGCAGATTTGCAGTCAGCAATGGGTGAGTTCAATTTTAGCCACAGTGAGCTTGAAGTCATCAAGCCAGTTTTCAATCTCATACCTTGGAAGCCAGCATTGTGTGTACACATACAGGCAGAGAACAAACTCACTAACATTAAAATACCTCCTGAAACATTTGGATAGCACCTGCCAAACAAGGAAATTTAGGGTGTTTATGCCTTAACCTGTATTTTGTTCACGAAGGTGACACTTCTAAGAACTTTTCTCACCCAAACCCTCAGTCTTATGACCATTCCTTCCTTTTACTTCTCATTTCAGAGAACACAACACTCCTGTCCCTGCTTCAGCCCCACGACTTTTTCCTGCCTTTCAAAATGGAAATAAGCTCAGAATCAATTCCATTTTCCTAGCTTCCCATTCTCTGTGGGTTAGGACTGCCCCAGTTAATTTAAAGCCAAGGCAGATGGTAATTCATCTTTGGCACTCAGTGCAAATGCTGAAGGTCTGTTCCGGAATCACTGTCAGCCAGCAAGGAGAGAGGTTACCTGCAGCTGCTGAAACAAACACTGAGATGTGGAGCTTCCCCAGGGGCTCAGCAGTCACCCAACCACTGCCGCTGCCACTAATGTCACTCCCCGGGAGGCTGAAGGTTGGGAAACTGCGTATAGGGCAGGAATGCAACGGTGGGCTTGGGAGAGAACACTGGGGCTGGAACAAGCCCTGGCAGCTGCCCAAGTGAGGACTCACGCTGAGCTGAGTGGACATGACTGGACAGCCTTCCTCAGGAGAGTGATTTGGAAAATACCCTGGAATATATTTCCAAGTATGTGGAGGACAGTCCCTAGCACATAGTCAGTGCTCAGTGAATATTTGCCAAAGGGATGAATGGAAAGGGTGGATCCAGGTAGGCAAATAGTTCTCATCTGAGCCCTTCAAGTCCCTGGGGTTTTACCAGGGTTTTTCCCTCTCATATAGACGTGTGAGAAATGGCACCATGGAATGGACCAGTTTGCTGGGAAGCACTAAGACTACCAGCTCCCGGAAGTAACCTCGTTCAAATATTCAGTTTCAGGATCTGCATGCCTGGATTGATTTCAAGAACTCAGTCACCGAGAATGTCTACCATAAAATCAGTCGATTCAAAATGTCCCATTGGGGGCCTGGCTAGCTCAGTTGGTATAGCGTGAGACTCTTATAAAGTTGCCACTGCCTAGGCCCAGGGCCAAAAGAAAAAAGGGTTCCTTTACTCAAAACTACAACTAAAGCCTACTGAGTGGATTTTGCCTCATTGTCTTGAAAGGCAGAGAAGCTCTGCTATTCTAGGCCTCCCCACAGAGTAGCAGCATGGGATGGGGGTCCTGCCTGGGGCCGACACTGCAGGGGGGTCGGAGCCCTGCATGGAAGTTGGGGCCTTGACAGGAGTCAAGACCCTTCCTGTCTGGACTTCCTCTGTGCAGATGCAAATACCAGAAGCCTACCAGATTCCGAAAGGTGGGGTAAGGCAGACCAACTGCCCAAGGACACAGAGACTCGAGGAACAACCCAGCCATGAGTCCCGGGAGTTCTTTTCTTGCCTCTTTGATATCCCAGCCTGGGTGCTAGAGAGGTCAGCAACCAGAAATGTCCATAACTGACCCAAAGAGAAAAAGCCCCTCAAGAAATGCCTGCTCTCCACATCCTGAGAACCTAGAAGGGTGCAGACCAGCAGGCACCGTTCAACCATACTGTCTATTCTCCAGAAGGGCACCCTAAGAATAGCCAGGGCCTTTCCCACTCCCACTGAGGAGCAGTGGTGGCCAAACCCTATCGCCCCACCCACTCCCCACCCCCATCTCCTCCGTGGTGTTGAGCCTGTGGGTGGAACTCTGGGAACTCCCCTCGTTTATGTGGCCTGAGACTTTTGCCCCTTTTTCTGTTGGGTTTCCAAGTAGGTTATAAGATAGAGGAAAAGAGGTGAGGTTGGCTTCCATGAGAAGCCCTTGGCGAGCATCTCCCTTACTTGGCTGTAGCCTCCTTGGGGGAAGGAATCGGGTCTTAAGTCACTCTCATGCCACCAGAACAGCCCAGTGCCTGAGACACAGCAGGTGCTTAATAAATGCCCTAAAATATTGGGG